CAGGCACAGCACTTGGTGAACCTCGAAGTGCAGATTTCGTGGCAGGCGCAGCACTTTGTGAACATGGAAGTGCAGACTTCGTGGCAAGCGCAGCACTTTTGTGAACCTCGATGTGCAGATTTCGTAGCAGGCACAGCACTTTGTGCTCTCAGATGCTCACTCTCTCACTCCCTCACTTTCACTCGCACTCACTCACACACGCTCACACCCACACTCACTCTTCACTCACACTCACATTCACACTCACACTCACTCACACTCACATTCACACTCACCCTCACTCACAATCACTCACTCTCACTCACACACTCAATCACACTCGCGCTCACACTCACTCACTCACTCACTCACTCATTCACTCACTCACTCACTCACTCACTCACTCTGCCTCTCACTCACTCTCACTCTCACTCTCACTCTCTCTCTCTCACTCTCTCACTCTCTCACTCTCTCACTCTCACTCACTCTCTCACTCTCACTCACTCACTCACTCACTCACTCACTCACTCTCTCACTCACTCACTCACTCACTCACTCTCTCACTCACTCTCTCTCTCACTCACTCACTCACTCACCCACTCACTCACTCACTCACTCACTCACTACCTACCTACTCGCTCACTCACTCACTCACTCACTACCTACCTACTCACTCACTCACTCACTCAGTCACTCACTCACTCACTCACTACCTACTCACTCACTCACTCAATCACCCACTCTCGCACTCTTACTCTCACCCGCACTCCCACTCTCACTTTCACTCTCCACTCTCACACTCACACTCACTCACTCTCCGACTCTCACACACACACTCACACCACCATTGCCACCGTCACCACCATCCCCACCTTCATCACCACCATCACCTCTCTGGACCCCAATGCGTCTAGATCTCTAGACTTTCTGCTTATAGACCTCACACGCACTGTTTGGGGTCTCTTGCCGGGATAATTTTTTAATTCCATCACATCAGGCTGCATTTGCTGCACCTTACGTGGCGATTTCATTGAAGGAATGCAGAAGGTGCTGAAAGATGTTCGAGCTCGTGGCAGTCACCTGGACAGTGTCTTTATTGAGACAACTGGCTTAGCCGATCCTTCACCGATTCTCGGTGTTTAATGGTCCATGCTGACTGGTGCATTGGAGGTTTGTTTTGTTTTTATTTGTTCGTCCCTCTCCGGGAATGAGAAGTGCCCAATTGATTGACTGAGTAAGTAGAAGTGCAGTCAGTTTAGTCCTAGCTGCTGACCGGTCAATATGTCGTGCATTTCAAGATTCAAAGGGATCAGTGTAAGACGATGCACCTTACAGCTTCGTTCGATTGTGCGTCTCGTTTTTTAGAAATTTTCTCAGGATTGCTTCCACATTCTTCTTGGATCCATTCATGCAAGAGAATTATCGTTTGGACTCCATCCTGGGTGTTTGCGATGCCAAGCACTTGTTGTCCCAATTGGAGGCCAAGCGTGAGAAGTCCTGTGTCAATGAAGCCTCCGAACAAGTGGCCTTTTCCGATCGCTTGCTGTTGACGAAAACGGATTTGTGCAGCGAGATGGAAATCAATGGAGTGCTGCAGCATTTGACACTGGGTCATGGTTTGGATATGTGTTTTCCTTTCAGTTGTTTGTGTTTTTAATGTTGGAGGTATGTTATACTAGTTTATTATATTTTATGCAAGATTGTGTAATGTTTTTGATTGGTGCAGTTGTTGTTTGTTCCAGCCGTACTTGTGAATGCTTCCTATATATATATATATCTTTGAGGACTGTTGTAGTCACCCAATCGCCAGCGCAGGAAGCGTTTGAATCCCTTTGCGCAGGTTTTACCTTTGAACCTTAAAGATGTCGAAACGCCACTTCCAGTGGAGCAGTTGTGTGATGTGAAGGCCTTTTCCCTGGACAAAGCACTGGACTTCGATGCCACCTTCCTGGAGGAAGATGACCACACACATGACGGCACGATCCAAGCCTTGGGGGTGAAGTTAAATGGTGTTCTTCACCAAGAGAAGCTCAACGTTTTCTTTGCTGCGGTCTTGAAACGCTATCCGAAGGAGATGTATCGAATGAAAGGCACAGGGGCAGAACAGCGGACTTTGCGGCCTACTGTTTGTTGTAGGAAAGCCCCCTGAACCAGCGGATTTGCGCGTTTTTCTTCTGCTTTAGCCAGGGCAGGGGGGGGTGCATAACATTTCCACGCCCACGACGAGAGGGCCATTTTCATATTAGGTGGGAAAACAACATTAAACAACCCGAAGACACCAACTTGTCTTTAAATTCGCAGGAAAATAAAACACATGTGGCCGAAGGTATCTTGGATGTGAAAGGCATTCCTGAGCGTTACATCTTTCACGCGGTGAACTGTCATTTCGGTGGGATGCCACAAGGCTCGTGGCCAACGGAGGAACGGCAGAGCAAGGCAGTGTTCATTGGCAAGGGGATTGATCATGCTTGGCTGGTGGAGGGTCTCAGAAATTGCTTTGTCGATCCCAAAGAAGGCTTCTTGGAGAGCAACGTCAAGTCCGCACATGAGTGAATTGAAGATGCGACGCGCAAATGTCTACTAAATAATGTTTCTTCACACTTTGTGTACAAAGATCAATTACGATGGAGATGCCAGAATGTCGTTGCAGACGACTACATCAATATCATCAATGAGAGTGGTGTGGACGCTTAGAAGTTTTGTTGGCGATGCGAGGGGTGGCTTCAAAGACACAGCGTGGGTGCATTTTTCAAGAGAGCAAAAAGATCCTTGCAATGTGCGTGATGCTCTTTTTTGTGCGTCAAGATAGACGCATCGGCCTTGCGACGCGACTGGCGTGTCGTAGCAGACTTTGGGATCGGATTGTAGGTCCTGGGGCCCTGGTGCAGACCTGTTGCCACATGTCTGATGTTGAATGTGGATTTTGAAGAAACATGTATAGAGGATTATAGGTGTATTTTAAACCCATTGGACGCATGTGTTTTCACCCAGGGTGAAGCAACAAAAAGGTTTGAGGGTGCCCTGGTAAAACGCCATTAGTTATATAGCATGTTACAACACTTATACCCAAAGAATCTCGTCATGACTTGTTTCTCTCGACTCCCCACAAAAATGGCCACCTCGGCTGGTCGGGCCTCTTTTCGGGCTGAACGGATCCGACTCGTTTCCTCCAGTTCGGCACAGCCAGTCCCAGTAAGAAGCTTCCGGTACTCCGATACTGCTGGAATGGATACCCAAGAGTTCAAACGTTTGGTGGTGGAACGAATGGGCTGGGCAGCTTTTAAAAAAGGCACACCTACCGATTAGAACTGATGGGTTGGCATCCACTCCATGCTCTTATCTCCTGTTTACCTTCAAAGACCATTTAAAAGGATCGGTGGACGACCTGGCTTTGCAAAATCTTGCTAAAACCATGTTCTTTGCAGTGTAAAGACCATGAACATCAGCAGTTGAATGGCAAAAACCACCATTCTTTGCAGTGTAAAGACCATGGAAAGTCCATTGGTGGGCTAGGAAAGACCGGATTTTCCACGCCCAGTGCGTCGCAGGGCCCTTGGTCGCAGCTGCTGACCAGCTGCGTTCGCTGCGCTCCGGCGGACAGGCACCGGTCAGACCGCGCGAGACGTCAATGGCGGGTGGGTCGTTCGCAGCATCAGTGTTCTATTTGTTTGGGTCTTCCCCCAGTGCCAGTCTAGAAGTAATCCATTAGGAATTCCATGGAATTTCTCATCAACCTTCACCAATTAATTATTGTTTTGAGTAATTCAGAACCACATTGCTCGTCAGACGAACACCACCAGAAATGGTGCCAATCCAGTCATGAATCACCAGCCAGTCATGGTTGAAGCACCGGTCAGGGTTGAAGCGCCACTCACGGTTGTGAAGCATCTATCTTGGTCTAGAGTCTATAGGGTATGATCATGGAAGGTATTCCAGGATGATTTGCTGGAGTTCTTTCATGTCGTTCAACAGCCCTTTCTCAGAAGGAGCTGCCTGGTCACCACCCACCAGCCCCACCAGCCAGGCGAAAACGGAGGTAGGTATGAGCGGTTGGGAAGCACACACATGGCAGTGTGATTACAGCACAGGACCTTTTGGAGCAATATCTGATCTGAAATGCTAGTGTGAAGCAGTGCCACTGGCTATGTGGTTTCATCTTGAGTCTCTTCCCCAGACACTCCATGTATGGAATATATGCCGCCCCATTGACCCCCCTGGCACCACCCCAATTGATCGGCAGTCCGTCCTGGCATTCCCACCTGGCAGTCCCAGACAGGTCGTGTCTGGGTTCTATTCGGTGTGCCAAATACCGAAGACACGAAGTCCTCTTCGTGTCGTGAAGTCTTGGGCCCGAACGCGGCATCACTGCGTGTGACGAGGTCGGTCCGGTCCGGTTTGGTCACCCCCCGGTGACGCACAGTGTGCAGCAGTGCAGGTCTGAGCACTTGAGGGTTTGAGCCGGACCTCCGGCTCACAGAGCTGCTTTTGCTGAAGGTGAATTTGAGGTTCCTTTTGGTGAAATCCCCTTCTGGGCCTGGGGAATATGTTGTTTTCCAGGTTCCTAAGGCCAAGCCAAGCAATGAGCTGGAAACATTGGCGATAGAAAGATTATGTTTCCCTGGAAAACTTGGTGTTTTGTAACTGCCATGTTAGTGTCGGAGTGTCATCTATAACTTGTTTGTACTATACTTAGCATGTGCCAAAAAGAACATCATGACGGCACAGAAGGCAACGATTGATACACTCCATGCGATTTGGAATATTCCATTCAAACCCTGGAACCCCACGCCAAAGTGAGCGTCCGCCAAGTGGTATAAAAGACTCGTCGCGACTGTCGTCAAATGCAGAACAACAACAAGTCTTCTAGTGGGACACCCGCCATTGATTCAGTGAACTATATCCATCAAATCGTATCAAACTCATGAAAATAATACTCATTGACATTGACCCATTGAACATAATACCGTTCGCGCATGTCAAGCATATACCAATATGGGCTTGTCTTTTTTTAAGGTGTCCAGTTTATGTAGGGCTGGGATGTTCGACTTAGGCGAAGCATACCCCCGAAGCATACCTCCGAAGCATACCCCATAGTCAAACATCCCGGCCCGGGAACCTAAAAAAAATACAAACCCATATACCAACAGAGGTTGAAGGACCCTTTTGACCATAGGTACCCCAGTAGTGTCCGAACGTTCAGGTCACTCTCCACCTCTCTGGGTGTCATTTGGTGTCCAGTCTTTTGGACTTCGTTCGCGCGACCCGGAGGTGAAACATGTCCAACACCCGCCGTTCCGACGCCTCGACAGCCCTGGGCGATGGGTTGTGCGCCGGATGATGCACTCGACAGCCATGTTTCTTCCATGCTGCCATGCACAGCGAAAGCCATGTTAGGCTAAGCATGGCTAAGCCTGTTGAATCTAAATTGCTTCCACTTGCTTTGTCTTGGAAACTGCGCCCTGAAAAAGAAAGAAAGAAACAACAACTTCGTTCCCGAGCGCAATGCTGCACGATCGCTGTCAGAGCATTGGGAAACCCCGAACTCCTGGCCTCGCAGCTCCACGTCTCGCCTCGCCTCTTCGCAGGCTGTCGACATGTTCACAACGTTCTCCGCGGACGAGACGGGACCCAAACCGATGACACACATCGTTCAAAACGCATCTACGGTGTCTACGACGAATCTCCGGCTAAAACAAGCCATGGCGAGCCTCCCCGCCAAGCGGGTCGAGCAGAGCTACGAGGTTGGGATGATGTGGGGATGGGTCAAAACCTGGTAGGTTGACCATGTCAGGTAGTCAATGCTGTTCATTTTCGGTGGTCGGTGTCATAGCACTCGGTGACCCACAAGTGGACAGATCGGATGCCGCTCGCGGGCGAAAGCGCAACCAACGACTCGATGGACTGTTGCAACCTACGCTACCGGGACCCGATCTTCAAGCACCTCGGAGTGCGTGAGCTGACCCTGTAAAAAAACAGAGACCGCACCTGAGAAGGTACGTAGGGATCCCTAGGGCTTGTTACTTGTAACCATTTTCCGAGGTACGAACTGAGAATTCAGGTTTTTGCCTTTTACGCCGTGGATTGCTTAAATAGAGGAGCCCCACCCCTGATTGTGTACGACCAAGAGATAACCTGGCACCGACCACCCCTCTATTATTCCCAAAGGGATAAATTTTTGGCCAAGAATGCCCAGTGAGTCAATGCTTGCATGGTGATGGAGTCTTTTGATGCCAGGTCTCACTTCAACCAGCAGTTGCCTCGTTCCAAAGGGTTCCAAAGGGTTTGGAGTAGGGTGATTTGATTCAACCCAAGGCAGTTCAGCATTTCTGCACAAACTCTGTGTGCCGCACAACTCCATTCCCAAACGGTCCATGACATGCTTGCTTACATTGGGGTAGTTTCAGGGCTCAATGTAGCTCAAACATATAAATGATATGTGATTTCTTTAAACACACATACATAGAGTGTTTGGGATTTGCACCCTAATGAACCCTTGGACCCGCCATGTGGCATGGGGTAACCGGACGGCCCGTCCCCAAACTCCCTTCTCGCAGGAGCTTCTGCAGGATCAGCTACAAGCGCTCAAAGGCGTGCTGCTTCAGAAGCATCATCATGAGCTACGGTGCCTCGGACCCGGATGAAGAATGACCGGTTTTGAGAGGTGGAGAGACCGGACCCCGCAGTGGTACAGAGTGGGATGGGCTATAACAATGAAACATATAAAGAGGTAGTTCTTGGGGGGGTACCTGTACCATATGTAGGGGTCGGTTTTTGTTTGGGCTTTTGGCGCTTTTTTGTGTGTGTTTATTTTGTGTGTTTTTTTCGGGGCGTTGAACGAACGTGTTCACTCACGGGTCGCAGTGCATGGGTCGTAGTGGATCTACGAGCTGCGCGCAGACCTGTTTGGGACTGGAAGAGTGATTGGCACAGCAGGACGAGCCAACTACTGCATCCTTCACGGCGGCATTCCCATAGTTGTGGCCGAGACACAAGTGAGACCCTGCCGAGGAAGCCCCTTTTGGCGCAGGTCCAAGATGCCCGTGAAGGAGCAGGACAAGAACTTGATGATAGCGCTCTCCAGACTCACCTGCATCATGCAAGAGATGACGTATCGAGAATCCCGGAGACAGCCCATGCACGGGCGAAGAATTCGATTTGTGCAGAAGCAGGTCGACACCAACAGGTGGACAGGTCGACGCCAATTATAGCACCCATCCTGATTGTGATGCTGCAAGCAGCGGTCCCCCATGGGAGCGGCGATGTGGAGTCCCTCCCCCGCCGGGGGTCGATGTCTTGAGGAGGCTCTCAAGGCCCCAACCGTTATGCATGAAGGCAGCACACAAAGAGCCGGGTGGACAGCGATTCAGAACAGGTGGGCTATCTTGCGCCACTGCAACAGTGGGTACCATCGGGCACCGCAGTTCATGGCTAGCTTGAAGCTAGTCAGCGAACAGACAAAATGGCAGACAGCAGTGTCTTGGCTGAGGTGAAAGGCTGCGTGCTGGTGGCGCTGCAGGTGCCTACAGGCCCCCCGAAGATGCAGAGAAATTTGAGCCATCCTGCTAACTTGGTGACCTGGTGGCCTCGCAAACATGCCCGTGTTCCGTACCATCGTCCAGCCGCAGCGCGCACAGTTGATGCGGCCCCGGCTCAGCCCCAGGCCGTGGGGCCTGAAGATGCCTGAAGCCTCCTGTTCCATAACACATGCCAGAAGCCCGGCCGCGTAGGAGCTCCCACACCACTTGAGCCATAGCGCCCCTT